CTATAAGAAATGGTTAAAGGGATGGTTTCAGCAAAACCTGGGAAGACTTGCATGAACTGATGCAAAGTAAAGTGAGCAGAACCAGAACACTTTATAGAGTAAAAGCAATTATGTAAATTATTTTGTATTGATTATAAAATAATCAACTTTGAAAGACTTAGGAACTTTGATCAACACAATGCCAACCACAGTTCCGAAGGACTCATGATTAAACATTCTATTTGCTCTAGATAGAGAACTGCTGGACGTAGATTATAGATCGAAGCATATTTTCTTCTTTCTTTTTCTTGCCTTTTTTTTTGTACATGGCTAATGTGGAAATTTGTTTTACATGACTATACATATTTGCCATAGGTTTTGTTTTTCTTACTTTCTCATAAGGGAGGGAGAGGAGGAAGAGAGAGCATTTGGAAGTGAAAATAAAATTGAATTTTAAAAATCTCAGTATATGTCTTTATTCTGTACCCCTAGTATACCACCTTTCTGCCTATAGGCAAAAGTTTTGCTTCTCTGGTACTCTTTCCACCGTGCTATGCTGTGTGGTTTCACCTAAGGGAAAGAAAGCACATTAGGAGGCTTGCATCTCCCAGTTTGAGAAACTCAGATTTCTGTGGAACCTCCTGTTCCATATGCCTCTGACAGCAGGATCAGCCTTTGCCCCAATATTCTTTGGGTTATCTCAGGCCTCAGGACCCCCTCCCTGGAGCTTCAGGCTTGAGTCTTTTGCATGGATTGGTTTGTTACCTGCCTGCCAGCGGAGGCTTATTTCAGTAAACGCTAAGTCACTTTATTTAAAAGCCACTCTCATTTGAACTCTGCGGGTATATGTGGCTGTGTATGTTGTCATGTGCTTTCTGCTCAGTGACACTGGTTTCCATTCATCTCTGCTGAGTAAGATGAGCTGCAGATGTTCATGTCTCAAGGACCTCTGTCTCCCGCATTTTGTTTCACCGGAAGAATTTGTAGGTAATTCAAATGATAAATAAATACAGTGTCTCTTGTGGCTGGAAGAACTGAACATAAAAGGGAATGGAGGATTGCCATTTTAGTTGACATTGTCCCATTAGTTAACCTTTAAATGGCTGGGTGTTTTTGAACTGTAATGTGAACTGAAATTCCAAGTAGCAAAGTATATGAACAGTTGCTTAAAATGTGTTAATTGAATTATTAATACAGAATGTTGTAGTATCTAGAGCCCTGGATTTGGGGTCAGGAATACCTGGGTTCAAATCTTGCCCTAGACACTTAGCAGCTGTAATGTCTCCAAGCTTTAGTTTCTTTATCTGTAAAATGGGTGTAATAGTAGCACCTTCTTCACAGTGTTGTGAGAACCAAATACAAAAATATGGGTAAAGTACTTTGTAATTCCTAAAGTGCAATTCAAATGTAAGGTAATGGAGCATTGAAAATTTGGGGGCTATTTAAGCTGTCTGTGATGTCCTGCCAGACTTATATGTAGCCTTGAGAGTAGGGATCGGCTGTCTTTTATATTTACCTCCTTTGTGTCTAGCATAGAGCTTTGCACATAGTGGACACTTAATAAGACGTTATCAGATTTAGAACTGGAAGGGAGTCCAGAGCAATTCCAGCTGGGACTGGGGTGACTTGGAGAATCTCCCAGAGCTTGTTAAGTGGTGGAAACAAGATTCAAACCCAGGCCCTCCAGCCCCCACCTCACCCGCAACTCCAAATCTAGTCCTCTTTCTACTAACCTACACTCTCTGTTTAATTGAATTGTTGAAAATGCATTTTTGGTACAGTTCTTTCAACTTTGAAAATGCAGTTCCATGTTTGTTAACCATCCAAGGAGATCCCAGACCCTTCTTTGCCAATATAGGACTACTTACAAATCTAGTGAAAACTCAAGCTGGTTTGGTGGGCCATTGATCAGATAATAGCACTGTGAATTAAATATTGTGCTCTTCATACTGTTTCTCACCATAATAGGAGGAAAATTTGTTGATGTGGCCATTAAAAGTTCTTGTCAGGGCAGCTAGGTGGCACAGTGGATAGAGCACGGGCCCTGGAGTCAAGAGGACCTGAGTTCAAATTTGGCCTCAGACACTTGACACTTACTAGCTGTGTGACCCTAAGCAAGTCACTTAACCTCATTGCCTAGCAAAAAACAAATAAACAAACAAAAAAAGTTCTTGTCCTTTGACAGAGTATGGTTTTCCTGGTTCTACTTTATTCACTCCCACCCATGTCGCCAATTAGCAGATGTCTGTACTCAGGGCTTTTGCCGGTCTTACTTGAGGTAATCTGAAATATGCCATCCAGAAATGATTACAAAGACTCAGCTCTGAATTTGGATTTCTCCATTGATGTTAGGAATATGACAGGGCCACTGCTGAGAATTGGAAGTCAAATTTTACTAGATGGAAGTAGAATGTTTTATTAAAAAGAAAGCATTTGCCTAGAGTGGGAGGAGGGGAGGAGATGGGATTTTAGTGTAAATGAATTGTTAAAGGCTGTGTTTTAGCTTTTTGGCAGGGGGAGATATTTTTTAAAATGACATGTTAACCCAAGAGAATGATTAAGACTCAGTGCATCCAAGGAGAGCTTTTTTCAGTTTTCGTGAATTCCTTTTAACCTTGCATTTGGTGTCATTCTGTGCAATACTGTCAAAGGAATCTGCTTCCTTTGAAGTCATGGAGTGTTGCTGCTGGGGATATCATGATGGTACAATAGGTGTGTGTGGCAGCGAGGCTTACTAATCTCTGCCAGTGCCTTATTACCCAAGTAAAGGTGTCTATGAGGGAGTGTGAATGCCTATAAACAGAGAGTATATGATGAGGATATATGGTAATGGGCAGGATGATGGGCAAAATATTTCTCATGAATTAGGGATGACTTTTCATAATTCACAAGGAGGAAAAGGAAGGAAGACTTGAAATCACCTGAAAAGCTCGCAGAAGCAATTTGTAATTCTTACGAGGCAGGCTGGAGAGCTGAATATTGCTCTTTTTCTGGTGCATGGTGCTAAACACTGTTCATGTGAGGTTACAGGGAAAGGAGGATTCTGTTACTGATAAAACTTAATGCCCAGAATTCTGTGGTCTCAACACTTACCAGTCTGAGCATGAGGTTATAATGCTAAGCACATAGTAGATGCCTAATGAATAATGATAATGATATAATGATATAATAATATATAATATAATGAGTGATTATAACTGAGGGTGGGGCATATTGGTGGAGGAAGACATGTAACGTGTTTGATTTTTGTTTCGTGTGAAACTTATAGGCTTTTTCTCCTCCCAGATTTCTGGTTCGGATTGATGTCATGGATTTGGATATATTTAATTTACTTATATTGCTTTTCTCCTTGTGTTACCCTTCTCCCTTAATCTGTGATACTGCTCCCAGTTCACTTAAAAAAAAAAAACTTGTAAGAAGAAAAGTATGCAAACCGCCATCCTTTGTCATCTTCTATAATTCCAAACAAATCAAATCTGGTTACATTTAACCTCAGTTTGTCTTGGTTTCCTTCCTATCTGTAAAATGGGAAGAATAATAGCATCTGCTTCCCAGGGTTGTTGTGAGGATCAAATGAAATAATGTTTGTAAAGTACTTTACAAATCTAAAAGAGGTATGCAGATTCTAGTTATTATTATTATTTTTGTTGTTGTTGTTGTTATTGTTATTGTTACAGGGTTTTTTTTGCTTCTTTTGCTTTTTTGGTGAGGCAATTGGGGTTAAGTGACTTGCCCAGGGTCACACAGCTAGTACGAGTTATGTGTCTGGGACCGGATTTGAACTCAGGTCTTCCTGACTTCAGGGATGGTATTCTATTCACTGCACCACCTAGCCGCCCCCATTACAGGTGTTTCTAAGGGACATTCCAAATTCATTTCCTATAGTGTAATATTGCTGTAAAAAGTGTTAAATGAAATTATTGGGCTTTGAAAAACTTTGGGTTCTGTAGAAATCATATTGTACTTCTTTTACTTATAAAGATTATAGGATCACAGATTTAGAGCTGGAAGGGATTTTAGAGGCTGTCTACTCCAACCCCCTTATTTTAGAGGTGAGAAAACTGAGGCCAGAAAAGTCATTGGCACGAGATCATACAAGTATTAAGTGGGAGGGCTGGGATTTGAATGCAGGTTCTCTGACTCCAAATCTCTTTCTACTGTAGCACTGCCACTAGATGATCAGGAATCCAGCTGAGTTTCTGTTTTTGTCTTTTAGAATTGTTCCTCATTCTCTTCTTTTGCTTTCTTAATTTTATTGTGTGTGGTTTTTTTAACCTACCTTTTCTGTTCAGGTTCTGACCTGATCCCATATGAGCTATGTGACCTTAGTTAGGTCACTTAATCTCTTTGAGGCTCAGGGCTTTCACGTAAAATGATGATAACAATACCTATACTTTCCTCCCAGAGATGTGGGGAAGAGCAGCTGTTGAGCTCTTGTATCCTGGTCCCCTTATGTCTCTGGAACAACTTGCTCCCTCTCGTGTTCAGAGTGCTATATTGGGTTATCAGCTGTTCAGATCCACAAATCATGAGCCCCTACTGGTTATTTGCTTGATATACTAGAGACCCAGAAATATGATACATCATTTGAGCAAACCCTAAAGCAAGGTAAACTAGGAAAAGAAGTGAATCAGACAGCTAGTATGCTGTATGCCCATACTTGGGTGACTTCCCCTTCCCCATACTCTCCAGGCAACCAGTGAGTCATAATCCCTTTCAATTGTCAAACATCTTAACTCCTTGGGAAGTTGTGATTCATTTAAACTCAGTCATTTGTTGGTATTCTTGAGAGTAATGTCTTTAAACTGCCTCTGTTCAGTCCTTCCCTGTGAGTTTTGGAGCAGCACCTAGTATGCATCGTTCTTTAGATATTTGGTACAGCTCAGATGAATTTTCCCCTCTGATGTTAGCTTTCCATATGCCAGGATCAGATCTGATCCACCTTCTTTGTCTTTCTTATAGTCTCTAGTTGTGCCTCTCCATACTTCCACCTCACCTAGCGTGACCTCTCTTCTCTCTAGGTGGCTGTTTTCCTGTGTTTCATGTTTCACTTGTGTCTCCCCTGCAAGATTTCTGTCATCTTCTACAACTGGGCAAGGTGAAAACCACTAAGGTTTCATTTAAGCTTCTGGGAGATATATTTTCCAAAATAAAACATGATTTCTGTCCCCTGGATCGACTTACTTACAAACTATTAAATTTTGAACTATATAAATGTTGACTGTATAAATACTTGTATTTTTTTAAAACTTTTTTGATATCTCTGTACCTGGTTCTAACTTTTGTTGGTTTATTGATGTTTGGGGGTGGTATTTTGAGGTATCTTTTACACTTTAACAGTGACCTTCTGATCTCCAAGGATCCTCTGGTCCTGTTTCTCTCTTGGGGAGTCATTTTTACCAGACTTAATTCTGCTTTCCTCAATATACTTTCTTAAAGTTGCACAGTAGGATGGAACAGACCATTTTGGTTGTGTTGAATGCAGCGACCAGAGGGGCTACCTGACCCTGACCTTATGGTTGGAGCAGGTTCAAACCAGTTGAAGCCAGTCTTGTGATTTCTCTGTAAACTCCCCATTTGGTGTACCTGGAGCCCACTGTTCTGACCAGATATTACCACTCCCCCAGCCTCCCTAGCCTTCTCTATAGAATTTTAGCTCTTTTGTAAAACAACTTAGGTACCATCTTTGAGAGGCTGTGCCTTCCATGAGTTGCCCACCTGTTGAAGTGCATTTACCCTTCCCGGATACCTCCCCTTCAGTGCTGTGAGGTATCCTGCATTGCAACTCCCTTGCCTTGATTAAAGATCCTTGTTGCGACTTTGGTACTCCTCTTTATTTCAAGTTGACAGCTGATAAGGAATTTTCTCCTTTACCCTAGTTAGGCTTATGATTTTTTAGGATGCTGTTATTTCAAATAGAAAGAATAGAGCTTGATAAAGGAGATGGAGAGAGAGGTTTTTTCCATGCTTATTAGTACATTCTAGGTTTCATTATCTGAATAGGTCAAGCCTAACTTGACATTAATTATCCTATGTTGTATTCCAGGCAGAACTGCACATTTTCAGAAGAGATTCACAAAGAGATTCACAAAGTGACTTAACTAAGGTCACATAGCTTTGGTTCACTGTTTGCTATGTTATACTATATTGTCTTTATGTTCTATCAGCATTGTTATTAAATTAACACTCTCATTGTGGATCTACATACTTCCAGGATTTTTTTTTCTCAGTTACAATGAAAGATTTTTTTTTTTTTGGCTTTGAGAAGTCTATAATTACTTATCACACTCCTAATGTGATGGGAGAATCATTGCCTACTTGCTGTTTTCCAGCCAGGAATCTCCCTCTTTGTCTGGCATCCAGAGTCCTAAATTAAAGACCAGTCATTCCTTATAATTTATCCTTTTGCAACAAGGACAGCTATCCTTCCTGAGTGCCTCCTATTCAATGCTAAATAAATGGTGGTGAATGAAAAAGGATAAGAGGAAGAGGGGAATTGTAGCTCATCAACGTTAATGTTTGAGGGGTATTTCTTTTTCTTGTCTACAGTCTTTGGAAGTCTTCTCCAGGGAATTTCCAGCAGTTCGGACTGATGATCCAGAAATCTCTTGAGGTGAACTGTGTGACAGAATAAAGCAGGCAAATACAATCCAGAAACAGATTGGCTCCTCTTATAAGAGAAAACAATTACAGGTAAGAAACTTAAAAAAAAATGAATCTTCATCTTGATTTGTTTTCAAGGATGGGCAGTTTTTCTTTTAAATAAAATTTATTGAGCCTTTTGTTTGTATTTCCCAGTTATTTCTAGATATGCCACCCCCTCCAGTCTATAAAAAAGGATTTTGTGTGTGTGTGTGTGTGTGTGTGTGTGTGTGTATAAAACAGTACTAGTTACTACAGAGACCTAGACTGAAAGGGTGTGCAATATTCTGCATTTGTGGTCCCTCCAGCCCTGTACTGAAAGGAGGGGAGGTATATGTATCATCATCTGTCCTTGGGGATGCAAAATCGACCATTGTGACTACTCAGAATTTGACTTCCTTTGAGTCTTCCCTACTCTATATTGTTGTAGTTCTTATCTACGTTATTCTTGTTCTGTTGTCTTTACTCTGCGTCAGTTCATACAAATCTTTACATGTTTCCCTAAATTCCTCATATTCATAATTTCTTACTGCACACTAATACTACCTCCACAATTTGTTCAGCCATCCCCCAATCCATGAGCGCTCATTTTGTTTTCCATATGCACTTTCATTGAGTATCTATTTACCAGATCCCATTTGGATCAAGTCTGGTGTAGAGGCATTGCTTCAATTTACTTTTCTTTTTCCTTAATTATGCTTTCAATGAATATACGTCACTGTACGTGCTAATGAGTTCACAAAGGATCAGAGTTTCAGTCAAGTTGTTGTATAATTAGGTTAGACTGAGAATGAGGGTTTCAAGACTTTGTTAAGTTGGTAATCTGGAATTCAAAATTTAAAAGAAAAGAATGTTAAAAATAAATATTTTTAGAAAGAAAAAAGATTTTATAAGTTGATAGGTATCTTGATTTCTTGTCTAAATGGGAAATATGTATTTCTGTAGAATAAAGATGGACTTGATTCATTGTTCCTTCCAAGTGCCAAATATTTAATTTTATTAAATGTTCCTACTTGTCAGATATGCTAATAAATCGATTCTCTAGAATTTTCTCAGGTCTAAGGTGCCCAGCTGCATTTATCTATCCAATGATTGGCCCTAAAAAACTGTTACTCTCTCTCATCTCTAGGTTTAAATACAAAATTCCCAGGCTGGTATTTTAAGCCCTTCCATTTTGGATCCTACCTCCCTTTCTAGTTTTTTTCAGAATGGGCAGCCTGGTGCTATGGAAAGAGTGTTGGATCTGGAATTAGGAGACCTGGGTTCAACTCCCAGCTCTGTATTTATCACTGTGTGATCGTGGGTAAATCACTTAAGCACCCTTGGCCTCAGTTTCCTCATCTGTAAAATTGAGGTCAGACCCAATGCCCTGTAATGCCTATTCATTCCAGCTCTGAATCTAGAATCTTCAGCAATCTTCTAGTTAATCTGTGCCCATTCCCATCACCCACCCTTGATGCCTTTGAACAGATGGTCTTCCGTATCTAAAATGGGCTCTCTCCTCACTTCCAAACCTTAGACCTCTTAATAAAAGGATTTGTTCCATAAAACTTGGACTCAGTCAAACGGCTGTACTTGAGGACCTAAAGGGCCACACTTGAGGACCTAAAGGGCCACATGTGACCTGGAGGCCCACCCTTCCCATAAACCCTCTTCATAGGATAGTTTATTTGCTATTCTTCTACGTGATGCCTTTTTCTAGATTCCATTACTTTTTAATGCTGTTTCCTTTGGAAATGATTTAGTACTTTGTGCTTCTTGCTGTCAATCTCTCCCCACCCTCCATAGAACATACGCTCCTCTCGGGCAGAGGCTGCTTTGTGTGCCTTCATATCCCTAGCACCTAGCACAGGTGTAAATTCTGTAAATGTTTGTTTCCTTGAATTCACTTATGGAACACTGGGCACAGACCATTTTAACTGTACTGTGTAGAACTTGGCATCAGATAGACAAAAACAGCCTTCATTTGTCCTATTGGCACTGCGATTCATGACAAGGTGCTTTGTAATCCTCAGATGAAAGGTAGTTCATAAGGAGCAGTGGTGTTTATAGAAGGGAAATGGCTTTCATTAGCTTGAGTATTCCACTCTAGGCTGTTAAAATTTAATTTTACAGAATATCAGATTTGTGTGCATAAGAAATCATTTATTATACACTTTTTATACCATAAATAAATTATGTTTTTATCCTTAAGGATCTTGGCAGCACTCTACATCATTGCTTGATCAGTACTGAAGGGAAAAATTGCTTTGTATGATATGATGACTTATTTTAAGTTGTGTGACCCAGTGGATTTAATTCTTAGCTCTATCACTTTCTAGAATGCAAAAATATTTTCCCCCTTTTTAAATGATTTATTGATGTGCCTTTCATTTTTACATTACTGTCACAGTCTACTACCACCACCCTGGACATGCTTCATCATCAATCCTCTAAAGTCATGACTGCTTATTCAAAATGTTGAAATCTTTTAGCTTTGTTTTCCTTTAGATTATTGTGCTCATTGTTTAAATTGTTCTAGTTTTCCTTACTTTATTCTGTATCCGTTCATATAGGTCTTCCTGAGTATTTCAGAATAGAGTAAATAATTTTTTTATATTTGTTATTCCTTTTGGAAGCATTAGGTGGCACAGTGGACAGAGCACCAACCTGGAGCCAGGAAGACCTGAGTTCAACTGCGGCCTCAGATAGTTCCTTTTGTTGTAGTTGTTTGTCCTTCGTTCTCAAAGAGGACTATGACATCAGGGAGGTGATGCCATGACTTGCAAATGAATTGGATTTAAGTGAGGGAGGGCTGTGCAAAGTCACCAGCCTCACTTTCACCCCTGGAGCCATCTCTGGAGCAAGTAGCAAGATATAGATCAGGACAACTGGAGATGGCCCCCAGATACTTCCTAGAGATGTGACTTTGAGCAAGTCATGTAACTTCTCTTTCTCTCAGTTTCCTCATCTGTAAAATGGTATAATAATAGCATCTACCTCCCAGAATTGTTGTGAGGATGAAAATGAGATAATATTTGTAAAGCACTTCCTGGCACATAGTAGGTATGTGTTGTTGTTTAGTGATTTCAGTGGTGCCTGTCTCTTTCTGACCCCATTTGGGATTTTCTTGACAAAGATACTGGAGTGGTTTGCCATTTTCTTCTCTGGTTCATTTTACAGATGAGGAAACTGAGGCAAACATGATTAAGTGACTTGCCAGGGTCACACAGTTAGTAAGTGTCTGAGGCCAGTTTTGAACTTGGAAAGATAAGTCTTCCTGACTTCAGGCCTGGCATTTTATCCCCCACTTTACCACCTAGCTGCCCATAATAGGTGCTGTATAAAGGTTAATTTATTAATTATTACTATTATTGCAGTCTATGACAGTCACATGCTACAACTTATTTAGTCATTCCCTAATAAATAAATACCCACTTTCCTTCTAGTTCTTTGTAATTGCAAAAAGTTCTGCTATAAATATTTGCATGTATGGGACCTTCCCTTCTGCTGTTAATTTCCTTGGAGTCTATAAATAGTAATGGTATTCTGAGTCAAAGGAGTATGTACAGTTTAGTGACTTAAATCTAATTACAAAATTTTTTTGAGATTGTTTAGACTAATCACATCTCTACAATGCATTAATGTGCTTGTCTTCCTACAGCATTCCACCTTCTCCCCACAAAATCAAACCAAACTAAAACAACTTTTACTATTTATGTCTTTTGTTATCTTTGCTACTCTGGATTGGTGTTGAAATCTCACAGTTGTTTTAATTTGCATTTTGCTTATTGTCAGTGACTTAAAACATTTATAGTCATTGAGAGCTGATACAGTCCCATTCTTCAAAAAATATCCCAGAATCATGGAATATTGGAAATGGAGGGAACTCTAAGGATCATCTAGGCCAGTCCTCTTATGCTCTTTTTTTTCCCTTGCCCATGGGAAGAATGAGGTCCAGAGAAGTGGTGACTTGCCTGAGGTCAACAGCAAGTTATTGGCATCACTGGAAGTAGAATCAAGTTTCTTGACTCCTGGTTAGTATACTACACATGGCTTTGAAAAGCAATAGGAAAATAAAAACAATAAAGAATAAGCTATCCACATCCAGAGAAAGAACTATGGAGTCTGAATGCAGATGGAAGCATACTATTTGGTCTCTTTTTCGTTAGTTGTTTTGTTTTATCGCTTCATTCTTGTGGTTCTTCCCATTAGTTCTAATTGTTCTTTACAACATGACTAATGGGAAAATATGCTTAGTATGAATGTATAAATAGAGCCTATATCAGAATGCACACCTTTGGGGGGGGAGGGGGAGAGGAGAAGAGAGGGAGGGAGAGAAAATTTAAAACTCAAAATCTTATGGAAGTGAATGTTGAAAACTAAATATAAATAAATTATTTAAAAAAAAGAAGGAAATAATAATAAGAGAGTTTAGGCTATTGTAGCTTTTTTTTTTTCCCCTGGACTTTGGAATAATGAACATCATGCTACACGGATTGCATTAATAAGATTTTGGTTTGGTATCGCAAATAAAAAAAGCTCAACCTAGCATTGTTGCTTCCTGCCTTTGTGATTTTGGACACATCACTTAACTTTTCTAGACCTCAGTTTCCTCATCTGTAAAATAAGGAGGTTGGACTGAATTACCCTCTGGGGTGACTTCCAGCTCTCGATCTATGACCCTCTGTTTAAAGGTATGCAAAGGAGAGGATGAGGTAAGGCCCGTTCTCTTTTCAGTAGGCAGGTGAAAAATGAGATAGTTATTTCTCCTTCCCCTGAACTTTAATGTAGCACTTATTACATCTCTTATTTAACTTTCACGTTCTACTTTCCATTACTGTTATTTTTGCATATGCTTTATCTTCAGACTAGATTGGATACTGAATGAGGGCAGCAACTGTTCCTATTTTTAATTCCCTCTTCTCCCCACCCTGTGCCTAGTGTAATGTCTAGATTCAATTCAGTAAACTTTTGTGAAGTGCTAGGGATACAAAAAGAGGCAAAAGAGAGTCCCTGTCCTCAAAGAGCTTACAATCTGACAGCCAGCATGCAAACAAATATATACAAGG